TTCGACAACAATTGCGTTTGTATTCAAAACAAAGACTTTTATTTCGTTATCGAAAGCCTCGAAATGCAATACAAAACACTCCTCAGACAAGACATGCAATTCACGTATCAATTGATCCAAAACCACACCAAAACACTAACGCCTCAACCCTTCGCCACCACTTCCGCCGCCAAAGACACGAAAGCCATGCAATTGGACGACACGTCCAATGAGGACACCAGTGATCAGACATCGGATGACGAGGACATCGGTTGTGATAAACAAAACAATACTCGGAATGAGTTGAACGCCAAACAGACGAGACATTCGGCGAACGCATCGGTATATCAGCTGAAGAATGGCATCAAAGAGACGGACGGATCGGACAAATCGGGTGCCAATCGACTGAAGTTCATGTGCTCTTGGATTGGATGCGATCTCCGGTTTCGCGACAATTACGCCCTTAAGGCACACATACGGCTCCGACACACGAATGAGCGGCCATTCGCGTGCACCGATTGTCACAAGAGTTTTGCCGACAAAAAACACCTCAAAGAGCACCAGAAGATCCACAGCACCGGCGGTCAGATGTTTCGCTGCGAGTTCACGGACTGTCACTACGAGACCAGACGGGAGGCCAACCTCAAGGAACACGTGTTGCGCCACAAGAATATCCGGAACTACAAGTGCGACGAAAGCGGTTGCGACAAGAGTTTTGTCACCAATTATGAGCTCAAAGTGCATAAGAGTCACGTCCACAGCGAGGACCGGCCGTTCACATGCGATTGGCCCGGATGTGAGGCCACCTATAAGAGCAAACAGCGCTTGGATGACCACAAACTGTCCCATTTGGGGGTCCGGCAGTTCGCGTGCGACTTCCACGGCTGCGCCAAGAACTTCATCACCAAAAAGAAGTTGACTCAACACCGCAACGAACACATTAAGCCCTACGCCTGCAGTTGGCCCGAGTGTGGGGAGGCCTTCGGCAACAACCGGGCCCTCAAGGCCCACATGAACGCCCACGAGGGCGTCCGGCCCTATAAGTGCCAGTTCCCCGCCTGCGTCAAAGCCTTCTATAGTAAACCGCAACTCAATTCGCACCTCAAGTCCGCCCACAAGAACGTGGAAGCGCTGGACCCGCTGCTCGACGCCATTGCCGCCAAATCTCATGCGCTGTCAAACGCGGACCCGATGTCCGCGAACCCGACGAATCTGTGGACCAATACTGCGATGATTGCCAACCAAACCACTCACTCCAACAAAGACCAAACATCACTACTCACTACTCAACACATGCCCGACAGTTATCAGCAAAAGTCTGTCAAATATACAAATCAAGACTTATTTCTGTATAATATGCAAAGGAATGGCTTTTTGTGAATTTTGTGACCATTTGTGACCACTTTTTCGTTATATGAAAATTGTGCTCATTTTCCACTGTTTTAGTCACTAAATAAGCGTAGAATTTGTTTTTTATTATGACTTTAATACAAATTTATATAATTTTTGTTATTATTATTAAACAATTTGAATGTTTTAGGCGTTTATCAATAATTCTAATTGAAATTGATGTAAATTTTTACGTTTTGTTATATACTTTGTAAACATTTTGATCAATTTATAGAGATTTAGAATTTATGTTTTAAGATAATTGTTTTTTGTTAATTTTATAATAGGTTATTGTCTGAAAAGTTTAATATATTATGTTATGCCGATAGCTTTATAATCTAAAGTTTAGATTCAATATTTAAATCGATGTAATTTTTATGATAATTGAAATAATGTTAAGCAATTGACGATTAAAATTGTTAATATTAATCAATATTAAAAATAAACATCTTGTTATACATTACTATGATACAAATGTGGTGCAATAAAAGTATGCTAACATACTGTAATGGTCAAGTTTTAAATTATATTACAGTAAAAAGTATCTTGAAATCTATAAGATTAAATCTCAATAACAAGGACGAAATTAATTTAAAATCTTAATCACAAATTTCACCAGGCTCATCTATCTATTGAATTTTATAAATTAATATTGTAAAGTTACAATTAACTGTAAACTGTACAGTGTACACTGTACAGTATGATAAGGTTTGTTGTAAGAAATGAAAGCGTTATTATTGTCTCAATCAATAGAAATATGTCAACAATAATAGGATAAATGGCAATGAATTTGTAAATTGTGTTGACATTCAGTAATGAATCGATACATTGAAGCAAATTATGGCTAAAATACTAATCAATGATTTGTTTCATGAGTTGAGTGCAGAAAATGAGAGACTTTTGCGTGAATTGAGATTAAG